AGCACTCTAGGAGGGGAGGCTGGTGGATCACTTGAGGCCAGGAGTTGGAGACCAGCCAGGCCAACATGGTGGAATCCCATCTCTATTAAAAATACAAAAAGTAGAGATCGAGATCATCCTGGTCAACATAGTGAAACCCCATCTCTAATAAAAAAATACAAAAAATTAGCTGGGCACAGTGGTTCGTGCCTGTAATCCCAGCTACTCAGGAGGCTGAGGCAGGAGAATTGCCTGAACCCAGGAGGCGGAGGTTGCGGTGAGCCGAGATCGTGCCATTGCACTCCAGCCTGGGTAACGAGCGAAACTCCGTCTCAAAAAAAAAAAAAAAAAAAAAATACAAAAAGTAGCTGGGCGTGGTGGTGCATTCCTGTAATCCCAGCTACTCGGGAAGTTGAGGCAGGAGAATTGCTTGAACCTGGGAAGCGGAAGTTGCAGTGACCCGAGACTGCACTGCTGTCCTCCAGCCTGGGCCACAGAGTGGGACTAAAAAACAAGAAAAAGAAATAGCCAGTTGTGGTGGTGTGTGCCTGTAGTCCCTGCTACTTGGAAGGCGGAGGCGGGAGGATCGCTTGAGCACAGCAGTAGGAGGCTCCAGTGAGCTGTGATGGCAGCACTGTACTCCAGCCTGAGTAACAGAACAAGACCCTGTCCCTAAAAGAAACAAGAAATGTCTGAAACACGTTTTATTAACAAAGATAAACAACCTAAACTCAAGGGAGAATGGATGACATCTGCCAAGTGATTTTGAGAGTAATGACATTTTGTTTACTAAAGAACCAAGGCTGGGTGCCAAGGTGATCCAGGCGGGCGGGTCACCTGAGGCAAGGAGTTGGAGACCAGCCTGGCCAACGTGGTGAAACCCCGTCTCCACTAAAAATACAAAGAATTAGCCAGCCATGGTGGCTCATGCCTGCAATCTCAGCTACTTGGGAGGCTGAGGTAGGAGAATCCCTTGAACCAGGGAGGCAGAGGTTAAGGTGAGCCGAAATTGCACCATTGTACTCCAGCCTGGGCAACAAGAGCTAAACTGTCTTAATAATAAGGCTGGCACAGTGTCTCACGCCTATAATCATAGCACTCTGGGAGGCTGAGGGGGGTGGATCACCTGAGGTTGGGAGTTTGAGACCAGCCTGGCCAACATGGTGAAATCCTGTCTATTAAAAATACAAAAATTAGCTGGGCATGGTGGCAAGTGCCTGTAATCCCAGTTACACAGGAAGCGGAAGCAGGAGAATTGTTTGAACCCATGAGGCAGAGGTTGCAGTGAGCCAGAATTGCATCATTGCACTTCAGCCTGGGTGACAAGAGCAAGATTCCAAATTAAAGAATAAAAATGAGCTGAATGCGGTGGCTCACGACTATAATCTTAGCACTTTGGGAGGCCAAGGTGGGTGGATCACCTGAGGTCAGGAGTTCAAGACCAGCCTGGCCATCATGGTGAAATCCCATCTTTTTTTTTTTTTTTTTTTTTTTTTGAGACGGAGTTTTGCTCTTGTTACCCAGGCTGGAGTGCAATGGCACAATCTCGGCTCACCGCAACCTCCGCCTCCTGGGTTCAGGCAATTCTCCTGCCTCAGCCTCCCGAGTAGCTGGGATTACAGGCACGCGCCACCATGCCCAGCTAATGTTTTATATTTTTAGTAGAGATGGGGTTTCACCATGTTGACCAGGATGGTCTCGATGTCTTGACCTCGTGATCCACCCGCCTCGGCCTCCCAAAGTGCTGGGATTACAGGCTTGAGCCACCGTGCCTGGCCGAAACCCCATCTTAATAAAAAAAATAAATAAAAATAAAAATGAGTCCGGGCATGGTGGCTCAGGCCTGTAATCCCAGCACTTTGGGAGGCCAAGGTGGGCAGCTCATGAGGTCAGGTGATGGAGACCATCCTGGCCAACATGGTAAAACCCTGTCTCTACTAAAAATACAAAAAAAAAAAAAAAAATTAGCTGGATGTGGTGGCACACACCTGTCCCAGCTACTTGGGAGGCTGAGGTAGGAGAATTGCTTGAACCCAGGAGGTGGAGATTGCAGTTAGCCAAGATTTCGCCACTGTGCTACAGCCTGGGTGACGGTGTGAGACTTCATCTCAAAAAAAAAATAAAAATAAAAAAAATAAGTAGGGAAGAGGAAAGGGGAGGAAGAGAAGGAGGAGAGGAAAAAGCCAGAGGAGGAACAGCCAGGTGTGGTGGCTCATACCTGTAATCAGAGGAGAAGGAGGAGGAACAGCCAGGCCAGGTGGTTTGCCTGTAATCCGAAGAGGAGGAAAAGAGGAGGAGGAGGAGAAACAGCCAGGCTTAGTGGTTTACACCTGTAATCCCAGGAGGAGGAGGAGGAGGAGGAACAGCCAGGCCATAGAGCAAGACTCTGTCTCAACAAACAATAAACCAAAAAAAACATATGGCTGGGTGTGGTGGCTCACACCTGTAATCATAGCATTTTGGGAGGCTGAGGCAGGAGAATTGCTTGAACTCGGGGGGTGGAGGTTGCAGTGAGTGGAGATCGTGCCACTGCACTCCAGCCTGGGTGACAGAGACTCCATCTAAAAAAAAAAAAAAAAAAATTCGGCCGGGTGCAGTGGCTCAAGCCTGTAATCCCAGCACTTTGGGAGGCTGAGGCGGGCGGATCACAAGGTCAAGAGATCGAGACCATCCTGGCCAACATGGTGAAATCCCGTCTCTACTATAAATACAAAAAAATTAGCTGGGCCTGGTGGAGTGCGCCTGTAGTCCCTGGAAGCTGAGGCAGGAGAACTGCTTGAATCCGGGAGGCTGAGGTTGTAGTGAGCCAAGATCGGGCCACTGCACTCCACCCTGGTGCCTGGCGACAGAGCGAGACTCTGTCTCCAAAAAAAAAATTCAAGATGAAGTTTCACTATGGTGGTCAGGCTGGTCTTGAACCCCTCACCTCAGGTGATACACCTGCCTTGGCCTCCCAAAGTGCTGGGATTTCAGGCCTGAGCTACTGCTGCTGGCCGTTACGGATGTTCCTAGCAGGCAAATTGGGTGAGAGGTATGTAGCTTTTTTTTTTTAATTTCTTTTGAGACAGAGTCCCACTCTGTTGCTTAGGCTGCAGTGTTGTAGCACTATTTCAGCTCGCTGCAACCTCTACCTCCCAGGTTCAAGAAATTCTCCTGCATTAGCCTCCCGAATGGCTGGGATTACAGGTGTGCACCACCACGCCCAGCTAATTTTTTGTATTTTTAGTAGAGACAGGGTCTCACCAGGTGGCCAGCCTGGTCTTGAACCCCTGACTTCAGGTGTTCTGACTTCAGTTGAACCGCTAACCTCAGCCTCCCAAAGTGGTGGGATTAAGGGCATGAGCCACTGCGCCTGGCATATGGAGCTTTTTTTTTTTTAAATCTCTGTAGCTGTCTTATTTAGGAATAAAATAGGAGGCAGCTTTGTTACCGGTGGAAGGTATCAGCGTTTCCTGTGGTGAATCTGTTTGGGTCTGCAGTGACCCCAATTCTTCCTTCCCCAGGAGAAAGCATTTAACTGAGGGGTATAAGGAAGAAAAAGAGACCGAGGTAAGTTTCAGAGAAAGAGTGGAAGTTAGTTAGTTAATTTTATTTATTTATGTAGAGACGGAGTTTTGCTCTTGTTACCCAGGCTGGAGTGCAATGGCGCGATCTCGGCTCACCGCAACCTCCGCCTCCTGGGTTCAGGCAATTCTCCTGCCTCAGCCTCCTCAGTAGCTGGGATTTTTTTTGTATTTTTACATGCCCAGCTAATTTTTTTTGCATTTTTAGTAGAGACAGGGTTTCACCATGTTGACCAGGATGGTCTCGATCTCTTGACCTCATGATCCACCCACCTCGGCCTCCCAAAGTGCTGGGATTACAGGCTTGAGCCATCGCGCCTGGCCCTAGTTAGTTTATTTTTTTAAAAATTGTGGCCAGGTGTGGTGGCTCACGCCTGTAATCCCAGCACTTTGGGAGGCCGAGGTGGGTGGATCATGAGGTCAGGAGTTCAAGACCAGACTGGCCAACAGGGTGAAACCCCATCTCTACTAAAATATACAAAACTTAGCTGGGCATGGTGGCTCATGCCTGTAATCCCAGCTACTTGGGAGGCTGAGGTAGGAGAATTGCTTGAATGTGGGAAGGGGAGGTTGTGGTGAGCCAAAATTGCACCACTGCATTCCAGCCTAGGCAACAAAAGCAAAACTCTGCTTCAAAAAAAAAAAAAAAAAAAGTGTTTTTGTTTCCCAGACTAGAATGCAGTGGCACCATCTCAGCTCGCTGCAACCTCCACCCTATGGGTTCAAGTAATCCTACGGCCTCAGTCTCCCTAGTAGTTGGGACTACAGACGTGTAGCCACCAGGCCTGGCTAATTTTTGTATTTTTAGTAGAGACAGAGTTTCACCCTGTTGCCCAGGCTGGTCTTGAACTCCTGACCTCAAGTGATCCACCTGCCTCAGCCTCCCAAAGTGCTGGGATTACAAGCATGAGCCACCATGCTCTGCCCTGGAGTGAAAGTTTATTTAAAAGGCTTTAGAACAGGAAAGAAAGGAAAGGAAATGATGAAAGAGACCAAGAGGGCACCTTGATTCTAGGACTTTTAGGCTGGCCTCTTTCCCATGATCCTTTCCTTAGGGTGGTCTGCCACAGTGGGCAGGTGAGCCCCTGCCCTGTGTTTAGAAACTGTGTCATACTCCCCCATTTTGTCTTTTTTTTTTTGAGATAAAGTCTTGCTCTGTTGCCGAGACTGGAGAGCAGTGGTGTGATCTCGACTCACTGCGACCTCCGCCTCCTGGGTTCAAGCGATTCTCCTGCCTCAGGATCCTGAGTAGCTGGGATTACAGGCATGCCCTACCACGCCCAGGTAAATTTTGTGGTTTTAGTAGAGACGAGATTTTAGCATGTTGGCCAGGCTGGTCTTGAACTCCTGACCTCATGATCCACCCACCTCAGCCTCCCAAAGTTTTGGGATTACAGGTGTGAGTCACCGTCGTACCTAGCCCATTTTGTGTCTTAATGCACTTTTTTTTTTAAGATGGTGTCTCACTCTATTGCCCAGGCTGGAGTGCAGTGGCCTGATTTCGGCTCACTGCAAGCTCCGCCTCCCAGGTTCAAGAGGTTCTCCTGCCTCAGCCTCCGGAGTAGCTGGGATTACAGGCAGCCAACACCACACCCAGCTAATTTTTGTATTTTTAGTAGAGATCTGGTTTATCCGTGTTGGCCAGGATGGTCTCAAACTCCTGACCTCAAATGATCTGCCTGCCTCCGCCTCCCAAACTACTGTGATTACAGGCCTGAGCCACTGTGCCCAGCCTTTCTCCCTGAATCGTTATGTGCCTGCAGCGCCAAAAGGGAGCTCCTGGCCCCTGGCTCGGGGCCCCAGAGGCCCAGGGTCAAGGCTATGGCCGCATCCCAAGGATGTTCATCTCTGCAAGAGGCTGCAGCCAGCAGGCAGGGAAGAGGCTCCCCGGGGGCCTGCGCGGAGTCCGGCTGGGGAAAGCGAACCGAGGTGCTCTTGAAGAAACGGGGGAATCCCGCCGATCTCAGGGGTTCAGTCCCGGCCTGCCGCGCTGGATCGTCCAGCCTGGGCCTCGCCCTTCTTGGCTGGGGCTGAGTGCGGGGGTCCGGCTTCCCCAAAGTCCTAGCCCCGCGTTCCCAGCCTTTGGCCCCCAAGGGGTAGCGCCCGGTTCCGCCCTCCCCTCCAGGCCTGGCACTCGCCCTCAACCAACATGGCGCCCGCGGGCTCAGCACGTCATGCGGAACGCCCGCCGGGCTCCTCCCTCGCTGCGCTTATCCCCGCGGGCTGCGGCCGGGCGGCAGCGCTTGAGGGGAGGCGGCGGCGCGGGAAGCATGGTCCGGGGGCCGGCGGGGGCCTGGGCGGCGCTCGGGCCGCTGCTGTGGGGCTGCGCGCTGGCGCTGGCGCTGCCGGGCGGGATGCTGTACCCCCGGGAGAGCCCGTCGCGGGAGCGCAAGTCGCTGGACGGCCTGTGGAGCTTCCGCGCCGACTTCTCCGACAACCGGCGCCGCGGCTTCGAGGAGCAGTGGTACCGGCGGCCGCTGCGGGAGGTGCGGGCCCGGGGCAGGGCGGGAGGCGCGCGGAAGCCCGGCGGAGTTGGGGGGCTCGGGCCCCCCGCAGGCTTTTCCCTTCGAGCGCCTCGGAGTTGGAGACCCGGAGGAGGTTAAAGGTCAACGGGCTTGTGGGTGCGGGGTTGGCGGACGGGGGCACCGAGGGGCCCCGGGAGGGCCGGGGCAGAGGAGGCGGGAGGAAGGCTGAGCCCGGGCAGCGTCCTTCTTTTTAATGTTTCTTTTTAATTAAAAAGATGTTTTTGAGACTGGGTTTGGCCCTGTGGCCCAGGCTGGAGCTCAGTGGCGCAACCGTAACTTAGGAGCTCACGCCGTCCTCCGGCCCCTGCCTCGCAAGCCAGCTGGGCTTAGTGACACAGAGCAAGACAAAACTAACTCCACGCCTGGCTCAGTGACACAGAGCAAGACAAAACTAACTCCACGCCTGGCTCAGTGACACAGAGCAAGACAGAACTCCACGCCTGGCTCAGTGACACAGAGCAAGACAAAACTAACTCCACGCCTGGCTCAGTGACACAGAGCAAGACAAAACTCCACGCCTGGCTTAGTGACACAGAGCAAGACAAAACTAACTCCACGCCTGGCTTAGTGACACAGAGCAAGACAAAACTCCACGCCTGGCTTAGTGACACAGAGCAAGACAAAACTCCACGCCTGGCTTAGTGACACAGAGCAAGACAGAACTCCACGCCTGGCTTAGTGACACAGAGCAAGACAAAACTAACTCCACGCCTGGCTCAGTGACACAGAGCAAGACAAAACTCCACGCCTGGCTTACTGACACAGAGCAAGACAAAACTCCACGCCTGGCTTAGTGACACAGAGCAAGACAAAACTAACTCCACGCCTGGCTCAGTGACACAGAGCAAGACAAAACTAACTCCACGCCTGGCTTAGTGACACAGAGCAAGACAAAACTAACTCCACGCCTGGCTCAGTGACACAGAGCAAGACAAAACTCCACGCCTGGCTTAGTGACACAGAGCAAGACAAAACTCCACGCCTGGCTCAGTGACACAGAGCAAGACAAAACTCCACGCCTGGCTTAGTGACACAGAGCAAGACAAAACTAACTCCACGCCTGGCTCAGTGACACAGAGCAAGACAAAACTCCACGCCTGGCTTAGTGACACAGAGCAAGACAAAACTCCACGCCTGGCTTAGTGACACAGAGCAAGACAAAACTCCACGCCTGGCTTAGTGACACAGAGCAAGACAAAACTAACTCCACGCCTGGCTTAGTGACACAGAGCAAGACAAAACTCCACGCCTGGCTCAGTGACACAGAGCAAGACAAAACTCCACGCCTGGCTTAGTGACACAGAGCAAGACAAAACTAACTCCACGCCTGGCTCAGAGACACAGAGCAAGACAAAACTCCACGCCTGGCTTAGTGACACAGAGCAAGACAAAACTCCACGCCTGGCTTAGTGACACAGAGCAAGACAAAACTAACTCCACGCCTGGCTTAGTGACACAGAGCAAGACAAAACTCCACGCCTGGCTTAGTGACACAGAGCAAGACAAAACTCCACGCCTGGCTTAGTGACACAGAGCAAGACAAAACTCCACGCCTGGCTTAGTGACACAGAGCAAGACAAAACTCCACGCCTGGCTTAGTGACACAGAGCAAGACAAAACTCCACGCCTGGCTTAGTGACACAGAGCAAGACAAAACTAACTCCACGCCTGGCTCAGTGACACAGAGCAAGACAAAACTCCACGCCTGGCTTAGTGACACAGAGCAAGACAAAACTCCACGCCTGGCTTAGTGACACAGAGCAAGACAAAACTCCACGCCTGGCTTAGTGACACAGAGCAAGACAAAACTCCATGCCTGGCTTAGTGACACAGAGCAAGACAAAACTCCACGCCTGGCTTAGTGACACAGAGCAAGACAAAACTAACTCCACGCCTGGCTCAGTGACACAGAGCAAGACAAAACTCCACGCCTGGCTTAGTGACACAGAGCAAGACAAAACTCCACGCCTGGCTCAGTGACACAGAGCAAGACAAAACTCCACGCCTGGCTTAGTGACACAGAGCAAGACAAAACTAACTCCACGCCTGGCTCAGTGACACAGAGCAAGACAAAACTCCACGCCTGGCTTAGTGACACAGAGCAAGACAAAACTCCACGCCTGGCTTAGTGACACAGAGCAAGACAAAACTAACTCCACGCCTGGCTCAGTGACACAGAGCAAGACAAAACTCCACGCCTGGCTTAGTGACACAGAGCAAGACAAAACTCCACGCCTGGCTTAGTGACACAGAGCAAGACAAAACTAACTCCACGCCTGGCTCAGTGACACAGAGCAAGACAAAACTCCACGCCTGGCTTAGTGACACAGAGCAAGACAAAACTAACTCCACGCCTGGCTTAGTGACACAGAGCAAGACAAAACTAACTCCACGCCTGGCTCAGTGACACAGAGCAAGACAAAACTAACTCCACGCCTGGCTTAGTGACACAGAGCAAGACAAAACTAACTCCACGCCTGGCTCAGTGACACAGAGCAAGACAAAACTCCACGCCTGGCTCAGTGACACAGAGCAAGACAAAACTCCACGCCTGGCTTAGTGACACAGAGCAAGACAAAACTAACTCCACGCCTGGCTCAGTGACACAGAGCAAGACAAAACTCCACGCCTGGCTTACTGACACAGAGCAAGACAAAACTCCACGCCTGGCTTAGTGACACAGAGCAAGACAAAACTCCACGCCTGGCTTAGTGACACAGAGCAAGAGAAAACTCCACGCCTGGCTTAGTGACACAGAGCAAGAGAAAACTCCACGCCTGGCTTAGTGACAGAGCAAGACAAAACTCCACGCCTGGCTTAGTGACACAGAGCAAGACAAAACTCCACGCCTGGCTTAGTGACAGAGCAAGACAAAACTCCACGCCTGGCTTACTGACACAGAGCAAGACAAAACTCCACGCCTGGCTTAGTGACACAGAGCAAGACAAAACTCCACGCCTGGCTTAGTGACAGAGCAAGACAAAACTCCACGCCTGGCTTAGTGACACAGAGCAAAACAAAACTCCATGCCTGGCTTAGTGACACAGAGCAAGACAAAACTAACTCCACGCCTGGCTTAGTGACACAGAGCAAGACAAAACTCCACGCCTGGCTTAGTGACACAGAGCAAAACAAAACTCCATGCCTGGCTTAGTGACACAGAGCAAGACAAAACTAACTCCACGCCTGGCTTAGTGACACAGAGCAAGACAAAACTCCACGCCTGGCTTACTGACACAAAGCAAAACAAAAGAACAACGGAATTTTTCTTCTGTACATACAGTGGCTCACTACCTTGCGCAAATTGGTCTCGAACCCCTGGCCTCAAGCCATCGTCCTACGTTGACCTCCCAAGGCGCTGATTACAGGCATGAGCCACCCAGACAGACACTGTTCCGGCCAGTCCCGCCAGAGCGGCCTGCGCTGCACAGAGCTGGGCCCGGGGATCCGGAGGAGGGGGCAGTTCGGACACCGTGAGGTCAGCTCTGCTGGGCCAGAAAGGTACCTTGGTTTCCAAGGTTCAGATAGAGGACAGGATGTGACATCAGGCCAAGGACGCCACCCCTGTTCCCCTCTTGACTTGGATGTGGTCGGCAGAGAAGTGGGACCGGGTGAGGTCTGGGCCGCTTCTGCCTGGTCTACATCCTCTTTTTCTGACTTTGCAGCATTTAGTACAGGAGGAAGAGAGGGGAGGGCTGGGTGCCAGCGGGCACCGCACCCGCCGTGTGCTAGGCAAAGCCCCCCAGCCCTCCAAGCGGCCTTCCTCCCTGTGACAGGCAGTGGGTCAGCTGCCTCTTAGTCACGGTTCTGAACCTTCTTTTCTGGGGCTGGGATGTGGCCCTGGGCTCACTCCTGTCTCGCTCTGAGGAGGAACTCCTGGCCACACTGGCCCAGGAACACAAACCACCCTGGCAGTTGACCTGTCGTCACCAAGAGTCCTGCTGTGTGTCAGGGTGTGTGCTAAGCCTGGCGGCACAGCTGTGAAGCACGCTGGTCTGGGATCCCTTTGGGGGCCTAGGAGCTGATCCCCGCTCTTCTCTCCACAGTCGGGCCCCACCCTGGACATGCCGGTTCCCTCCAGCTTCAACGACATTGGCCAGGACTGGCGGCTGCGGCATTTTGTCGGCTGGGTGTGGTACGAACGGGAGGTGACCCTGCCGGAGCGGTGGACCCAGGACCTGCGTACAAGAGTGGTGCTGAGAATTGGCAGTGCCCACTCCTATGCCATCGTGGTCAGTTCGGCTGGGAGCAGGCAGGGTGGGTGGTGGGCACGGCTGCTGAGCAGCATGGGACCCCCAGCTGCCACCTGCAGCCTGTCTCCTGCGGCGGGATGATGGGGGCCCTGCCCTGGGGGCTGTGCCCTATGTAGGGGGATGGGTGGCCTCATCTGCCCCATTGGGATACCATTCTTCCCGTGTGGCTGGCAGGCCTCTGAGCCCCATGCTGCAGGTTATGAGAGGGCCTGTCCAATAGCAGGACCCCTCCTCATGCCCCGGCCTGCCGCCCCTTCCCCATGTCTCCTGTGTCCACAGTGGGTAAACGGGGTCGACACACTTGAGCATGAGGGTGGCTACCTCCCGTTTGAGGCCGACATCAGCAGCCTGGTCCAGGTGGGGCCCTTGCCTGTCCACCTCCGTATCACTATTGCCATCAACAACACGCTCACCCCCTCCACCCTGCCACCAGGAGCCATCCGCTACATGACCGACACCTCCAAGTGGGTACCGTCCTGCCTCCACCGCCTGTACCCACCTTCCCGCCCCACCCCGTGGTCTTCCTGCCAGGGACAGGGTGGCCGAAGAGTGCAGGCTCTGCGTCTAGGGACGACCTGGGACACGGGCCCAGCAAACCACAGCCTTCCCACCCCAGGTACCCCAAGGGTTACTTCGTCCAGAACACAGACTTTGACTTCTTCAACTACGCGGGGCTGCAGCGGGCTGTGCTTCTGTACACGACACCCACCAGCTACATCGATGACATCACCGTCACCACCGGCGTGCAGCAAGACAGTGGTGAGGGCTTCCAGAGGGTCCTCCCTCAGCGGGGCCCAGGTGGCTCTGTTTGTTCCCTGTTTGGAAAGCACTCCCAGGAAAAGGTTCTCCCGTCTTCTCTAAACCCTGACAGGTTCCCATCCACCTACAAAGCCGAAATCCAGACTGTCTGAGCGGGCACGGGCTCCCGAAATCACCTGTGTGGTTGACCTCGCTTTCGAGAAGAGGGGTTTGGCCTAAGGTCACACAGCTCAGGGTGGCAATCCTGTCCCTTCCCATGGTGCTGCTCTCATACCAGCTCCCCTCTGCCCCCTCCCACAGTGCATCCTTCTCTCCAGCTCCCCTCTGCCCCTTCCCACCATGCTGCCCTCACACCAGCTCCCCTCTGCCCCTTCCCACCGTGCTGCCCTCTCTCCAGCTCCCCTCTGCCCCTTCCCACCGTGCTGCCCTCACACCAGCTCCCCTCTGCCCCTTCCCACCATGCTGCCCTCACACCAGCTCCCCTCTGCCCCCTCCCACGGTGCTACCCTCTCTCCAGCTCCCCTCTGCCCCCTCCCACGGTGCTACCCTCTCTCCAGCTCCCCTCTGCCCCCTCCCACGGTGCTACCCTCTCTCCAGCTCCCCTCTGCCCCCTCCCACGGTGCTACCCTCTCTCCAGCTCCCCTCTGCCCCCTCTCACGGTGCTGCCCTCACACCAGCTCCCCTCTGCCCCCTCCCACGGTGCTACCCTCTCTCCAGCTCCCCTCTGCCCCCTCTCACGGTGCTGCCCTCACACCAGCTCCCCTCTGCCCCCTCCCACGGTGCATCCCTCTCTCCAGCTCCCCTCTGCCCCCTCCCACCGTGCTGCCCTCACACCAGCTCCCCTCTGCCCCCTCCCACGGTGCTACCCTCTCTCCAGCTCCGGTCTGCCCCCTCTCATGGTGCTGCCCTCACACCAGCTCCCCTCTGCCCCCTCCCACGGTGCTACCCTCTCTCCAGCTCCCCTCTGCCCCCTCTCACGGTGCTGCCCTCACACCAGCTCCCCTCTGCCCCCTCCCACGGTGCATCCCTCTCTCCAGCTCCCCTCTGCCCCCTCCCACCGTGCTGCCCTCACACCAGCTCCCCTCTGCCCCCTCCCACGGTGCTACCCTCTCTCCAGCTCCCCTCTGCCCCCTCCCACGGTGCTACCCTCTCTCCAGCTCCCCTCTGCCCCCTCCCACCGTGCTGCCCTCACACCAGCTCCCCTCTGCCCCCTCCCACGGTGCTACCCTCTCTCCAGCTCCCCTCTGCCCCCTCTCACGGTGCTGCCCTCACACCAGCTCCCCTCTGCCCCCTCCCACTGTGCTGCCCTCACACCAGCTCCTCTTTGCCCCCTCCCAAGGTGCTACCCTCATACCAGCTCCCCTTGTTACACATCGTGCTAAAGGGACAGGCAGTTTCAGGGGGCTGGGTTTGGCAGTTCACGCCTGTCATCCTAGCACTTTGCAAGGAGACCCTGCTAGGAGAATCACTTGAGGCCAGGAGTTCAAGACTAGCCTGGGCAACATAGCGAGACCATCACCCCCAAAATTTTAAAAATTAGCCAAGGGTGATGGTTTGTGCCAGTGGTCCCAGCTGCTGTGGCAGGAGAATCACTTGAGCCTAGGAGGTCAAGGGGTCAGGGAACGGGGACTGTGCTACTGTACTCTAGTCTGGGCAAAAGAGGGAGACCTTGTCTTTTTTTTTTTTTTTGAGACGGAGTTTTGCTCTTGTTACCCAGGCTGGAGTGCAATGGCGCGATCTCAGCTCACCGCAACCTTCGCCTCCTGGGTTCAGGCAATTCTCCTGCCTCAGCCTCCTGAGTAGCTGGGATTACAGGCACGCGCCACCATGCCCAGCTAATTTTTGTGTAGAGACGGGGTTTCACCATGTTGACCAGGCTGGTCTCGATCTCTTGACTTCGTGATCCACCCGCCTTGGCCTCCCAAAGTGCTGGGATTACAGGCTTGAGCCACCATGCCCAGCCTGAGACCTTGTCTTAAAAAAAATTTTTTTTTGACATGGAGTCTTGCTCTGTTGCCCAGGCTGGAGGACAATGGTGCAATCTCAGCTCACTGCAACCTCTGCCTCCCAGGTTCAAGTGATTCTCCTTCCTCAGTCTCCTGAGTAGCTGGGATTATAGGTGCTTGCCACCACACTTGGCTAATTTTTATATTTTTTTAGTAGAGACAGGCTTTCACCATGTTGGCCTGGCTGGTGTTGAACTCCTGGTCTCTGGTGATCTGCCCGCCTCCACCTCCCAAAGTGCAAGGATTGCAGGCGTGAGCCACCGTGCCTGGCTGGGATACCCTGGTTTTAAGAAATTTTTATAGTTCTTTTTCTTATTTTATTTTTAATTAATTTATTTTTTTGAGACAGAGTTTCACTGTGTCAACGAGGCTGGAGTCTAGTGGCTCAGTCTTGGCTCACTGCAAGCTGTGCCTCCTGGGTTCAAACGATTCTCCTGTCTCAGCCTCCTGAGTACTTGGGATTACAGGCACGCACCACCATGCCCAGCTAATTTTTTGTATTTTTAGTAGAGACGGGGTTTCACCATGTTGACCAGGACGGTCTCAATCTCTTGACCTTGTGATCCACCTGCCTCGGCCTCCCAAAGTGCTGGGATTACAGGCATTAGCCGCCATGCTCGGCCAGTTTTTTTGTATTTTTAGGAAAGGTGTGGTTTCTTTACGTTCTGCAGGCTGGTGTCGAACTCCTGGGCTCAAGCCATCCCGCTACCTCAGCCTTCCCAAGTGCTGGGATTACAGGCGTGAGCCACCATGCCCAGCTGTCAAAAAAACCTTAAAAAAGAGTGCCAGGCATGGGAGCTCATGCCTGTAATCCCAGCACTGTGGGAGGCTGAAGTGGGTGGATCATCTGAGGTCAGGAGTTCGAGAGCAGCCTGGCCAACATGGCAAAACCTTGTCTCTACTAATAAAGTACAAAAAATTAGCAGGGCGGAGTGGTGAGGAGCACCTGTAATTCCAGGTACTTGGGAGGCTGAGGCAGGAGAATCACTTGAACCCTGGAGGTAAAGGTTGTAGTGAGCTGAGATCAAGCCACTGCAGTCCAGCCTGGGTGACAGAGCAAGACTCCATCTTAAAAAAAAAATTGCCAGCCGGGCACGGTGGCTCATGCCTGTAATCCCAGCACTTTGGGAGGCCGAGGCGGGTGGATCACGAGGTTGAGAAATCGAGACTATCCTGGTCAACATGGTGAAACCCCGTCTCTACTAAAAATACAAAAAATTAGCTGGGCACGGTGGTGCGTGCCTGTAATCCCAGCTACTCAGGAGGCTGGGGCAGGAGAATTGCCTGAACCCAGGAGGCGGAGGTTTCAGTGAGCCGAGATCGCGCCATTGCACTCCAGCCTGGGTAACGACGAAACTCCGTCTCAAAAAAAAATTTAAAAATTAAAGGAAAGCAGCAGAAACAAATGGCTGCCTGGGAGTGGAGGCTGCGGGGCGCTCCCGTTGGTGTGACGAAGGTTGTGTTCCTTCCTCAGCTCTGGTCTCTCTTGCTGCCTGCAGGGCTAGTGAATTACCAGGTCTCCGTCAAGTGCGGTAGCCAATTCAAGTTGGAAGTGCGTCTTTTGAATGCAGAAAACAAAGTCGTGGCCGAGGGGACCGGGACCCAGGGCCAGCTGAAGGTGCCGGGTGCCAACCTCTGGTGGCCATACCTGATGCACGAACGCCCCGCCTACCTGTACTCACTGGAGGTAACGGTGGTTTGGGACTTGCTTCAGGGAGGTCTTTTGCCCCCATCTGGTGGCCCTGGCTTCAGCAGGAGCCCAGGACAGGTGAATGGGCCGGTGTGGTCCTCTGAGCTTTCTGATGTTTCCCACCCTTGGTGGGAGGCCCAGTTTTTGTTTTGTTTTTTTGAGATGGTCTCACTCTGTCACCCAAGCTGGAGTGCAATGGAGTGATCACAGGTCACTGTAGCCTTGAGCTCCCAGGCTGCAGCAGTCCTCCAACGATGGCCTCCTGAGTAGCTGGGACTACAGACACATGCCATCATGACTGGCTAATTAAAAAAATTTTTTTGTGCTGGGATTACAGGCATGTTGTGGCTCATGCCTGTAATCCCAGCACTTTGGGAGGCTAAGGTGGGTGGATCACCTGAGGTCAAGAGATTGCGACCAATCTGACCAACATGGAGAAACTCCACTCTACTAAAAATACAAAAATTCACTGGGCATGGTGGGGTGTGCCTGTAATCCCAGCTACTCAGGAGGCTGAGGCAGGAGAATTGCTTTAACCTGGGAGGGGCAGAGGTTGCGGTGAGACAAGATTGCGCCATTGTATTCCAGCCTGGTCAACAAGAGTGAGACTCTGTCTCAAAAAAAAAAAAAAAAAATGCCGGGTGTGGTGGCTCACATCTGTAGTCCCAGCACTTTGGGAGGCCAAGGTGGGCAGATCACTTGAGGTCAGGAGTTCGAGACCAGCCTGGCCAATGTGGTGAAACCCAGTCTCTACTACAAATGCGAAATTTGCTAGGCCGGGCATGGTGGCTCACGCCTGTAATCCAAGCACTTTGGAGGCCAAGGCAGGTGGATCACCTGAGGTCGGGAGTTCAAGAACAGCCTGCCAACATGGTGAAACCCCGTCTTTAAAAAAAAATAAAATTAAATAAAAATAAAAATAAAAAACTTGCTGGCCATGCTGGCACATGCCTATAATCCCAGCTAATCGGGAGACTGAGGCAGGAAAAACTTGAACCCGGGAGGCAGAGGCTGCAATGAGATTGCACCACTGCCCTCCAGCCTGGGTGACTGAGACTGCCTCCAAATAATTTTTTTTTGGGATAGAGATGGAATCTCACTCCGACACAAAGCGTGGGGATTCCAGGCTCGAGCCACCTTGTCTGCTCAAGGGGAAAGCCTAGTTTTGGAGGGCACATCCCAGGATCAACCAGGGAAGGACAAAGTCTCCGATTGCTGTGTCTCTGCTTGCAGGCCCAGAGGTGGCTGCTGGGGTGCATGGGGCCTTCCTGCCGGAGGGCAGGCCAGATGGGGCTCAGGCTGTCGGGCGCTCACCCCTGGTGCTTTGGCTGTCGTAGGTGCGGCTGACTGCACCGACGTCAGTGGGTCCTGTGTCTGACGTCTACACGCTCCCTGTGGGGATCCGAACCGTGGCCGTCACAGAGAGCCAGTTCCTCATCAATGGAAAACCTTTCTATTTCCACGGCGTCAACAAGCACGAGGATGCGGATGTGCGTTAGGGCTCCTGGGTCCTCATGGAATGCTTCTGGTCACTTTCCACGTTCGCTTTCTCTGTGTCCTGCAGCTGAGGGCAGTTGAGCTCAGGGCAGTGAGGCAAATGGGTCCAAACCGCCCGCGGTGGGGCTGGCACTGGGGCTAGAGAGGGGCTCCTGGGGTGGCTCCAGGGTTTTGACGCTCGGAGGAAGTGCAGCTTCGACAGGGACGGGGTCACTGGGCTCTGCTGTCCCCTAGATCCGAGGGAAGGGCTTCGACTGGCCGCTGCTGGTGAAGGACTTCAACCTGCTGCTCTGGCTTGGTGCCAACGCCTTCCGCACCAGCCACTACCCCTACGCGGAGGAGGTGCTACAGATGTGTGACCGCTACGGGATTGTGGTCATAGATGAGTGTCCTGCCGTGGGCCTGGTGCTGCCGTGAGTCCCCACCGTGCACCTGCTCCGCCTGCCCAGCCCGCGGGCTGCACCATGACCTCTGCCCCTTCCTTCTCGGCCCGCAGGCAGCACTTCAGCAACACGTCCATGAATCACCACATGCGGGTGATGGAGGAGCTGGTACGCAGGGACAAGAACCACCCCGCTGTGGTGATGTGGTCAGTGGCCAACGAGCCTGCGTCCTACCTGGAATCTGCCGGCTACTACTTCAAGTGAGTGCCGCCTGCCTGCCCTGGGCTGGATCCGGAATGAGACCCTGGCAGGTGGCAGGCTGGGGTGGGCATGTGCTGTCTGAGATCAGCCTCTTGTCCCAGCCCAATGGGAGTGCCATCTATACCCGGACAGTTAAATATCTACCTGCCCAAACTGTGGTTTTCTTTTTCTTTTTTATTTTTTTGAGACGGAATCTCTCACTGCCACCCAGGCTGGAGTGCAGTGGCACAATCTTGGCTCACCGCAACCTCCAGCCTCTGAGTTCAAGCAATTCTCCTGCCTCAGCCTCCTGAGTAGCTGGGACTACAGGCACACGCCACCATGCCCAGCTAATTTTTGTATTTTTAATAGAGATGAGTTTTCACCATGATGGCCAGAATGGTCTTCATCTCTTGACCTCGTGATTCGCCCGCCCCGGCCTCCCAAAGTGCTGGGATTACAGGCGTGAGCCACCGTGCCTGGCTGGTTTCTTTTTCTTTTTTTTTTTTTGAGATGGCGTCTCACTGTGCCACCAAGGCTGGAGTGCAGTGGCACCTCCGCCCCTGGGTTCAAGTGATTCTCCTGCCTCGGCCTCCTGAGTAGCAGGGATTACAGGCACGTATGAGCCACTGTGCCCAGCCTGTTTTTCTTTCAAAACGGGATCTCACTCTGGTTGCCCAGGCTGGAGTGCAGTGACACAATCTTGGCTCACTGCAGCCTCGATCTTCCAGGCTCAGGTGATCCTCCTGCCTCAGCCTTCCCAGTAGCCGGCACTACAGGTGTGCACCACCATGCCTGGCTAATTTTTGTATTTTTAATAGAGATGGCGTTTCACCATGATGGCCAGAATGGTCTCGATCTCTTGACCTCGTGATTCGCCCGCCTCAGCCTCCCAAAGTACTAGGATTACAGGTGTGAGCCACCGAGCCCGGCCCCAGTTGTGTAGTTGTAACTCAGCGTTCAGAGGTGGATTTTTCACTTGTGTTAGAGGCAGTGGAGGTTGTAGAAATGCTCCTGGAGGCAGACACCACACCCCAATTTCGTGGAGTGCTTTGGGCTGAGCCAAGTCTGCAGCAGGCAGCAGGCTGTGATGAGTCATCCCAGTTCGGGCAAAAGACAGTTCAGAGCTCGGAGTCACGGGGCTGTGCTCGGCAGGACTGGGAGGACGAGAGTTTTGTTGTGAAGGTGATGGGCGCAGACTTCAGGAGCAGGTGCCTGAGGCTTCCAGACAGACTTCTTTCGGAGGTGGCCAGAGGAGATGCTGTTTTCTGGGGCAGACATTGGAGGGGCTGCCCTGGCTGGAGAGGGTCAGCCAGGCTGTCACAAGACTTTGAAGCTTCCTGTCTGAGAGCCTGGCTGTTGGAGAGTGTGGGTTTGGAACTTGAGGCTGGGGATTCTTTTCTGTCCTGTGCCAGCCACAGCCTTCAGACGAGCAGAGCAATGATGGGGGAGGCTGTGAAAGCAAAGAAATGGGCCAGGCGCGGTGGCTCACGCCTGTAATCCCAGCACTTTGGCAGGCCGAGGCCAGTGGATCACAAGGTCAAGAGATTGAGACCATCCTGGCTAACATGGTGAAACCCTGTTTCTACTAAAAAAAATTCACAAATTAGTTGGGCATGATGGGGTGGCGGGTGCCTGTAGTCCTAGGTATTTGGGAGGCTGAGGCAGGAGAATTGCCTGAATCTGGGATGTGGAGGTTGCAGTGAGCTGAGATCGCACCACTGCACTACAGCCTGGGTGGAAGACCAAGACACTCTCGGAAAAAAGAAAAAAGTCTGTACCGTGGAGGCCTCGGGTGGGTGCAGAGCTCTGATCATGGACTGGTCCCTCTGTCCGCAGCTCTTCCCTTCAGCCCTCCTGGGTATCTCAATTCCGCATAAGGGCCGTTTCTTGAAGAGGCTGTCCCTGACTCTCCAGTCCATATTCTGTTGATTGTCTTGTAGAGCCCAGTTCCTGCCACCACTTGTGATTTCTATTCACATTTCTTCCATTGTATTTCAGAGTCAGGGTCTTGCTCTGTTGCCCAGGCTGGAGTGCAGTGGTGCGATCACGGCTCATTGCAGCCTCGGCTTCCCAGGCTTAAGTGATCCTCCTGCCCCTCAACCTCCCAGATAGTTGGAACCACAGGTGTGCACTGCCAGACTAAGATTTAAGGTCCCCGCTTCCCGCCGGCCCCCAGCTGGAGTCTTGCTCTGTTGCCCAGGCTGGAGAGCAGTGGTGTAATCTTGGCTCACTGCGACCTCTGCCTCCTGGGTTCAGCAATTCTCCTGCCTCAGCCTCCTGAGTAGCTGGGATTACAGGTGTGCGCCACCATGCCCTGCTAGTTTTTTATTTTCTATTTTTAGTAAAGATGGTTTCATCATGTAGGGCAGGCTGGTCTCGAACTCTTGACCTCATATCCACCCACGTTGGCCTCCCAAAGTGCTGGGATTACAGGTGTGAGCCACCAGGCCTGTCCCTAATTTCTAAATTTATTGTAGAAACGGGGTCTTGCTGTGTTGCCCAGGCTGATCTGAAACTCCTGGTCTGAAGTAACCCTCCTAAAGTGCCGGGATTCTAGGCGTGAGCCATCTTGCCTGGCACTTGCTCCATTTCTCTGTGTACATGTCTGCATTCCCAGTGCCCAGGACCTGTGGACTCAGATTTGAGTCCCCCCTGAGCACCTAGCACCCAGCCCCGTGCCTGCCTCGCAGCTTGCACTCCGTTTGCTTGATGCATTAGTAGATATCCCATCCCAATCCGCAAGCCAGCCGCTCCTGTGCCCACGGGCTGTTTCAGGGAGTCAGCCCAGTGACTTCAGCTCTGCGTAACTGCAAGGGGGGCCACTCCTGAGGGATAGGATTTGGGGGCCGGGGTAGAGTGAGTGATGCTAGAGAGCTGGGTCTAGGACTAGAGGAACATGCGCCCTTGTTAAAATAAATCTCGTTAGGGAAGAAAGCAGAGGCTCCATGCTTCGTTTTTTCTTTATTTTTGTTTGTTTGTTTTGACACAGAGTCTCGCTCTGTCGCCCAGGCTGGACTACAGTGGGATGATATTGGCTCATTGCAGTCTTCACCTCCTGGGTTCAAGCAATTCTCCTGCCTTAGCCTCCCAAGTAGCTGTGAATTACAGGTTTGAGCCACCACGTCCAGCTAACTTTTGTATTTTTTTCTTTTGAGACGGAGTTTCGCTGTTGTTACCCAGGCTGGAGTGCAATGGCTCGATCTCGGCTCACCAAAACCTCCGCCTCCTGGGTTCAGCCAATTCTCCTGCCTCAGCCTCCTGAGTAGCTGGGATTACAGGGACGTGCCGCCATGCCCAGTTAATTTTTTGTATTTTTTAGTAGAGACAGGGTTTCACCATGTTGACCAGGATGGTCTCGATCTCTTGACTTCGTGATCCACCCGCCTTGGCCTCCCAAAGTGCTGGGATTACAGGTGTGAGCCACCGTGCCCGGCCAGTTTGCATATTTTTAATTCAAAGAATTTAAATTGTAATGATGTGCAGATATGCACCATGCCTGGGTAATTTTTGTATTTTTAGTGGAGACAGGGTTTGGCCAGGCCGGTCTTGAACTCCTGACCTCAAGCCTCAGCCTCCCAAAGTGCTAGGATTACAGGTGTGAGGCATCGTGCCTGGTCCCGTGTTGTGTTCTGGTGCTGGAAAATGCGACAGGGAGGACGGGAGGGTGTCTGAGCCCTACCTGGACCAACGGAACCTGTGTCTTCTGCCTTTTGTGGACAGGATGGTGATCACTCACACCAAAGCCTTGGACCCCTCCCGGCCTGTGACCTTCGTGACCAACGCCAACTATGCAGCAGACAAGGGGGTGAGCCTAGGGTTCCCTGCCCCACTGCTCCCTGCCTTTGCCTGGGCTTGTCCTGAAGCCTGCTCATGGGAACAGCTGGAAAGAACCATGCTCTGCCAGTCTGGGTGTTTTAATTTTGTTTTTTTACTTAAAAAGATAGAGACAGGGTCTCGCCATGTTGCCCACGTGGGTCTCGAACTCCTGGGCTCAAGCAATCCTCCTGCCTCGGCCTCCCAAGGGCTGGGGTGATAGGTGTGTACCACCATGCCCAACTGCAGCCAGTCTGTTTTCACAGATAGCCTTTGGATTAGCGACAACTCTCTCTCTGCTTACTCGCCAGGCAGTGTGGGTTTCTGAGTCCAAGGAGGCTGGGCACAGGGAGATGGGATTTATTTGCTCAATTTGGACTCAGCATTTTTTGCACCTTGAATTAATAGTCTCATGAAATGTCAAAGATTTCAGTTCATCTGGCCCAAACCTGGCTGACCAGAATCTCTAGGGGACATTGTTTTGAAATGCCAGGTCTCTGCATGCTGAGATCCTGATTTAGTAACTCCAGGGCTGGAACCTGAGTTTTTCTGTTTATTTTGTAGACGTAAGGTCTTACTCTGTTGCCCTGGCTGGAGTGCAGTGGTGTCATCACAGCTCACTGCAGCCTTGAATTCGAGGGCCCAAGCGATACTTCTGCCTCAGCCTCCCAGGTAGCTTGGATTCTGGCTAAATTTTTTTGTAGAGATGGGATCTCACTATGTTGCTCAGGCTGGTCTCAAACTCTTGAACTCAAGTGATCTTCCTGCTTTGGCCTCCCAAAGTCCTGGGATTATAGGCACGAGCTGCTGTGCCTGGCTGACCTTAGTATTTTTTTTTCTGTTGAGATGGAGTCTTGCTCTGTTGACCAGGCTGAGTGCAATGGTACAATCTCAGCTCACTGCAACCTTCTCCTGGGTTCTGGCGATTCTCCTGCCTCAGCTTTCTGAGTAGCTGGGATTACAGGCATGCACCACCACGCCCAGCTAATTTTTGTATTTTTAGTAGAGATGGGGTTTCACCCTGTTGACCAGGATGGTCTCAAACTCCTGACCTCAGGTGATCCACCCACCTCAGCCTCTCAAAGTGCTGGGATTATAAGTGTGAGCCACTGCTCCTGGCCAGCAATTTTTTTTTTTCTTTTTGAGACAGAGAGTCTCATTCTGTCGCCCAGGCTGGACTGCAGTGGTGCAATCTCAGCTCACTGCAACCTGTGCCTCCTGGATTCAAGCTGATTCTCCTGCCGCAGCCCCCCAAGTAGCTGGGATTACAGGTGCCTGCCACCACACCCAGCTGATTTTTCTGTTTTTAGTAGAGATGGGATTTCGCCATGTTGGACAGGCTGGTCTCAAACTCCTGACCTCAGGTGATCCACCTGCCTTAGCCTCCCAAAGGCTTGCAGGCCTGACCCACTGCACCTGGCCAGGATTCTTACTAGAAAGAAGTATGTTCAGGAGGTATGAGAGACTAGCCAGTTGGACACAGAAGCCGTTGCTGCCCAGCCCTGAGCACTGCTTTGCTGAAGTTCGGGGTGAGTCGTCTGCTGTGCTCCCAGGAGGGACTGTGCCGGGCCCTCTGCAGCCCACAGTGCTGCCTTGTGAATGCTGCCTCAAGATTCTCTGTGGCGGCCGGGTGTGGTGGCTCACGCCTGTAATCCCAGCTCTTTGGGAGGCCAAGGCAGGTGGACCACTTGAGGTCAGGAGTTCGAGACTAACCCAGCCAACTGGTGAAATCTCATTTCTGCCAAAAATACAAAAAAATAGCACGGTGTGGTGGCACAGGCCTGTAATCGGGAGGCTGAGGCACAAGAAGTACTTGATTGTGGGAGGCAGAGGTTGCAGTGAGCCGAGATTGCACAACTACATTCTAGCTTGGGCAACAGAGCAAGACTCTGTCTTCAAAACCAAAGATTCTCTGTGAGAATGACTGCATTGGCCCCTCGGGTGGGAGCGCTTCTCTAGGGCGAGGTGAGGGGAAGCGTGGTGATGGGAGTGCTGCCTGGGGAGGAGTCAGTTCCAGTGTGGGGGGCCCTGGGCGTTGGCTGAGGACTGCGTTGGCAGGTGCTCTGCCTCTCACGGCCCTTCCCAGCTGCACACATCGTGAGCGCCTGCTTGGAGTCGCAGGCCTGCCTCTCTTGGACCACTTTGTGACCATGTTTCCTGCTTGTGGGGCAGGGTGATTTTGGGATCTAAATCGGTGCACTTGGATGTTCTCAGCCCCGAGAGGCAGCTCTTCCCATTCTAGGATTCTTTTGTAGAATCGTGGCCTTGCGATGTTGCCCAGGCTAGTCTCCAACTCCTGGGCTCAAAAAGCCTCCTCCCTTGGCCTCCCAATGTGCTGGGATTATAGGGATGAGCCACTGTGCCCTGCTAATTTTTTTACTACATAGGTTGTAGAGCTGGGGTCTTGCTGTGTTGCCCACATGGGCCTGGAACTCCTGGCCTCAAGCCGCCCTCCTCCTTCAGCCTCCCCGAGTGCTGGGATTACATACCTGTCTCACCTCGCCTGCTGGAAGCCCCTGCAGCATGTGAGTGCTGAGTCACATGGTCTTCCGGGTGTGAACGGCTCTGCTGCTCTGGTCCTAGGCTCCCTACGTGGACGTCATCTGTGTGAACAGCTACTACTCTTGGTATCACGACTATGGGCACCTGGAGTTGATTCAGCTGCAGCTGGGCACCCAGTTTGAGAACTGGTATAAGACTTACCACAAGCCCATCATTCAGAGCGAGTACGGAGCGGAAACGATTATAGGGTTTCACCAGGTAAGCGGCGTTGAACTCCGCCTGTGTGTTCTCTCTGCGCAGAGCTGTCACTGGCCTCCCCGGGCCTGTCCTGTGCCCACAGCACCGCTTCCCTCCTGCTGCCTCGTCCACGCTCCCTCCCCACCAGCAGCCAGACCTCTGCCCCACTCTCTTGGCCCTCAGACGGCCTCCTTATCGGCCTTGTTTCCAGACGCCTCCTATGGTCCCTGTGGTCTAACAAATCCAAATTCGTGTGTGTGTTTGTGAGACCAGGTCTCTCACCTAGGCTGGAATGTGGTGGTGTGATCATGGCTCCCCGCAGCCTTAACTTCTTGGGCCTGAGCGATCCTCCCACCTCAGCCTCCTGAGTAGCTGGGACCATAGGCACATGCCAAGATGACTGGCTAAGTTTTTTACTTTTGTAGAGATGGGGATCTTGCTATGTTGCCCAGGCTGGTCTTGAACTCATGGGCTCAAGTGATCCTCCTGCCTCAGCCTCCCCAAGCGGTGGGATTACAAATGCGAGCCACTATGCCCCGCCACAAAGCAGAATTTTGGGAGTCCTGTGTGGTTTCCCAGGCCCACAGGACGAAGCGTGCCCTAACCCCTGGCCAGGACACTCCTGGGTTTTCGTCCCCTGCTTTCATCACTCCTGGCCACTGACCGGTTTCCACTGCACTCGTTTGCTCCCCTGCTCTTGCTTGAGCTGTTTTCCCTGGAACGCTCATGTTGGCACCGTAATTGCCAACTAAAAGATCATTTTTCCTTTATTATTTTTTTTAAGAGATAGGGTCTTGCTATGTTGCCCAGGCTGGTCTCAAACTCCTGGACTCAATTTATCTTCCCACCTTGGCCTGATTCCCTATGCTAGCCTTTTTTTTTTGACAGGGTCTTGTTCTGTTACCCAGGCTGGAGTGCAGTGGTGCCATCATAGCTCACTGCAGCCTTGAACTCCTGGGCTGAGGCGGTTCCCCTGCCTCAGCCTCCTGAGTAGCTGGGACTACAGGCATGCACTACCACGTGCAGCCTAGTTTTAAAATTTTTTGTAGAGATGGAATCTTGCTGTCAGGCTGGTCTTGAACTCCTGGCCTCAAGTGATTCTCCTGCCTCAGACTCGGGAGCCTTCCCCGTGCTCTGCCCCTGTTGCAGCTCAAACCTTGCCCTCCCTGCATTCTCGCCGGGCGCTGTCGCTATTTTTTTGGCTCTCTCTGACTGGACTGAGCTCAGGAGAGAGGAGTCCTATTTAATGTTGCTTCCCAGGTACTCTGCAATGTCGACACAGCATGCGCTAAATATCTATCAAGGGCATGAGTGAGATCTTAGAGCCACTTTGTCCTCTTTTTTTTTCTTTTGAGACGGAGTCTTGCTCTATCACCCAGGCTGGAGTGGTGTGATGTCAGTTCACTGCAACCTCTGCCTCCTGGGCTGAAGCGAGTCTCCTGCCTCAGCCTCCCGGTAGCTGATTACAGCGCCCAGCTAATTTTTGTAGAGGTGAGGTTTCTTCATGTTGGGCAGCCTGGTCTCAAACTCCTGACCTCAAGTGATCTGCCCGCTTCAGCCTCCCACAATGCTGGAATTACAGGCGTGAGCCACCATACCTGTTCTCATTTTTTTAAATTTATCTCATTTTTTTTTTTTGTCCTCCTCACCAAAGATCTGTTGCTTTGTCTTGGGTTTTTTTTCACGTGGTCCTGAACCCCATCCAGCCCCTCTCCTCACCCCAGCCAACTCTCACTCGTTTGTCAGAGCTCCCGGGATTCCCATCGACACACCCTTCGTAATGTGCTTATCCTTGGCACAGGGCACAGCCACCCACAGTGGACTGCACCGTTCTGTTTGCACCCTTATTAATCGTGCTTACGGAACGCCGCTTCTGTAAACTAGTCAAGTAGGGAAGTGGCTCATGGACATACACGCTTGCTCATCCTCTTTGAAAAGGTAACAGGCTCTGAATTCTGTTTTTCTTTTTGAGACGGAGTCTTGCTCTGTTGCCAGCCTGGAGTGCAGTGGTGTGATCTTGGCTCATTGCAGCCTCTGCCTCAGTGACTCTCTTGCTCCATTGAAGTGATTCTCCTGCCTCAGCCTCCTAAGTAGCTGGGACTACAGGCGCATGCCATCACACCCAGCTAATTTTTTCTATTTTTGGTAGAGAAAGTGTTTCACCATGTTGGCCAGGCTGGTCTCGATCTCTGGACCTTATGATCTGCCCACCTTCAGCCTCTGAAAGTGCTGGGATTATAGGTGTGAGCCACTGCGGCCGACCAAATTCTTTTTTTTTGAGATGGAGTTTCACTCTTGTCACCCATGCTGGAGGGCAGTGGCATGATCCCAGCCTACCGCAACCTCTGCCTGCCAGGTTCAAGTGATTCCCCTGCCTCAGCCTCCCGAGTAGCTGGCATTACAGGTGTGCACTACCATGCCCACTCACCTATCTTTCTATTTTTTAGTAGAGAGAAGGTTTCACCATGTTGGTCAGGCTGGTCTTGAACTCCTGACCTCAAGTAATCCACCCGACTTGACCTCTCAAAGTGCTGGGATTATAGGAATGAGCCACCATGTCCGGCCCCAGTCTTTTTTTTTTTTTTTGAGATGGAGTCTTGCTCTGTTGCCAGGCTGGAGTGCAGTGGCACAATCTCGGCTCACTGCAACCTCTGCCTCCCAGGTTCGAGCGTACCACCATGCCCGGCTAATTTGTATTTTAGTACAGACGGGGTTTCACCATGGTGGCCAGGATGGTCTCGATCTCCTGACTTCATGATCCGCCTCCCAAAGTGCTGGGATTACAGGTGTGAGCCACTGTGCCTGGCCCAACTCTGAATTCTTAAACTCTAGAGAGGGTCTAGGTCAGCACTGATAAACTCTGTAGTGCTGGGCGTGGTGGCTCACACTGGGAATGCCGGCACTTGGGAGGCTGAGGTCAGATAATCTATTGAGCCCCAAGAATTTGAGACCAGTCTGCGTAACACAGACCCCATCTCTACGCAGAATTTAAAATTAGTTGGGCATGGTTGTTCTTGCATGTAATCCCAGCTCCTTGGGAGGCTGAGGTAGGAGGATTGTTTGAGCCCAGTAGGTCAAGGCTGCAGACAGCCATGTCTGCACCATTGTACTCCCACCTGAGTGGCAGTGTGAGGCCTCGTTAAAAAAAAAAAAAAAAAAAAAACCCTTGCAGTGATGGAAATGTTCTATAGCTGCACTGTCTGAAATGGTAGCTATACACGTGGCTATTGAGGACTTGATATATGACTAGGATGACAATTTTTAAAAAAATTATTTTTGAGACAGTCTCACACTGTTGCGCAGGCTGGAGTGCAGTGGCATAGTCACAGCTCACTGCTTGACAGTCTGGGCTCCAGCGATCCTCCCTCTTCAGCCCCCCAAGTATCTGGAACCACGGGTGTGGACCACCACACCTGCTAATATTTTGATTTTTTATAGAGACTGGGTCTCACTGTGTTGTCCAGGCTGGTTTTGAACTCCTGGGCTCAAGCAATCCTCTGCCTCAACCTCCCAAAGTGCTGGGATTATAGACCTGAGCTACCATGCCCAGCCTGGTTTAGTTTAATTTCATTTTACATGCGTTACATGCATTTATTTATTTAATGACAGGGTCTCGCTCTGTCACCCAAGCTGGAGTGCAGTGCTGCAGACACAGCTCACTGCAGCTTTGACCTCCGGGGCTCAAGCAGTCCTCCCACCTCAGCCTCCCAAGTAGCTGGGATGACAGGCATTAGCCGCCATGCCTGGCCCAAAGACGGATTTTTACCTCTAGTGTGGTAGCCTTAAGACTGTACCAGCAGATAGAGATGGAAAAGTAAGATGAAGAGAATATCAAATTAGCGTTTATAAATAAAGCAGTTATAATTAAGGTGGTTTTTATAAACCTCTTTTTTTATTCTGGGTTACATCATTCCCTGGCTGTCTTTACCCCAGCAGCAGCGAGCCCCCTGCGAGGACAGATATTTTGGTCACCATCAAGTGGATGCTTATTTTTATCTGCCAGTTCTGACTCTTGCATTCTCTTTGCCGTGAATCCCAGGACCCACCTCTGATGTTCAGTGAAGAGTACCAGAGAGCGCTGCTGGAGCAGTACCATCTGGGTCTGGATCAAAAACGCGGAAAGTACGTGGTTGGAGAGCTTGTCTGGAATTTTGCCGATTTCATGACTAACCAGTGTAAGTGGCAGTTTGGCTCATGGGATAATGTACCTGTCCTCATTTTTTCAGGTTGCCTTGCCAAATTCTGGACAGTTTGGTTGTAAGAGTCCTGGAAACAGCAGGGAAGCTGGTGTAATCCACATAGGTTGGGTTGAGTTTCCTAGGAAAAGTAAGTTGTGCTTAGGAAGCAGGAAAGCGTCAAAAAGCAAACAGGAGAGTCTGCTATAGGGAGACAGAAATGGCCAGCTTGCCTTTCTCTTGTTTGTTTCATAGCCAGGGAGGAAGGAAACACTGGACCTCATCAAGGAGTTCCTTTAAGCCTGCAAAGCTTAAGGTATTTCAGTCTGAGGCCGGAGAACTGCTTGAACCTGGGAGATGGAGGTTGCAGTGAGCTGAGATCATGCCACCATACTCCAGCCTGGGCAACAGAGTAAGACAGAGTTTTTTGCCTCTTGTCGCCCAGGCTGGAGTGCAGTGGTGCAGTCTCGGCTCACTGCAACCTCTGCCTCCCAGGTTCAAGCAATTTTCCTGCCTCAGCCCCCCAAGTACCTGGGATTACAGGTGCTCGCCACCACGCTGGCTAAGTTTGTATTTTCAGTAGAGATGGGGTTTCTCCATGTTGGCCAGGCTGGTCTTGAACTCCTGACCTCAGTGATCCACCTTGGCCTCCCAAAGTGCTGGGATTACAGGCATGAGCCCACTGCGTCCGGCCAAGACTCTGTCTTGAAAAAAGAAAAAAGCAACGTGCTGCGTCATGTTGGGCAAGTCCCCTAAGCTTTTCATAAGCCTGTCGAGTGGGGATAATGCCACCACCTGGTGGCTTACTGTAGGGCTGCATTTGATGAAGTACTTGGTGGCGCCTGTGTTCACTTACGGCCGAACCTTTTGGTGGGAAAGTTCTCCTTTCCATTTAACATTTCCATTTAGTGGCGGTCTCAGGAGGGGCGGTGACAGGTTGTTGCCAGCTGTGCTCCCCAGCAGCCTCAGCTTGGGCTGAATGACCACCGGTGGTGGGCACCAAGCTGGGCGTTGGTGCCAGAGGATTTGAACTCCACGAGTAGGTCCCACGTTGGTACTTGTGGCTGGTCAGGACCCTGCCTCCCACTAGGAGCCGTCTTTGCAGAGAAAGGCCCTAGCCTTTCAAGGGTAACTGTCCTAGATACCCCCAGCCCTCTGCCTACCCACTTACCAGGCAGTTGGGTACCGAGCATGCAAACGTTATTTTGCAAGTAAAAGATAAACTTTGGGAACTTTTTTTTTTGGTTTCTGAGACCAAGTCTCTGTTTCCCAGGCCGGAGTGCAGTGGTGCCATCTAAGCTCACTGCAACCTTCACCTCCTGGGTTCAAGCGATTCTCGTGCCTGAGTCTCCCAAGTAGCTGAGACTACAGGTGCCCACCAGCACACCTGGCTGACTTTTTTTTTTTTTTTTTGAGACAGAGTCTCACTCTGTCGCCAGGTACCAGGCTGGAGTGCAGTGGCACAATCTTGGCTCACTGCAACCTCCGTCTCCTGGGTTCGAGCAATTCTGCCTCAGCCTCCTGAGTAGCCGGGATTACAGACACGTGCCACCATGCCCAGCTAATTTTTGTGTTTTTAGTAGAGACGGGGTTTCACCATGTTGGCCAGGATGGTCTCGATCTCTTGACCTTGTTGATCCTCCCGTCTCAGTGTCCCAAAGTGCTGGGATTACAGGTGTGAGCCACCACCTTTGGCCACTGTTGTGGTTTTTCCCCGTAACAGACTAGAAAACTAGAAAGTAACACACCAGGGAACCTGGGTGTTTGGGCAGAGCAGTGGTATTTAAATATTTCAACCCATAAACTGTCACTTGAGAGCAAGCATCCCGAAACTGTAAGAGGACATTTGGCTGAGCCCTGTGGCTTGTGCTTATAATCCCAGCACTTCCGGGAGGCTGAGGAGGGCAGATCGCTTGGGACCAGCCTGGGCAACATAATGAGACCTTGTCTTAACTTAAAAAGCCAGGCATGGTGGTGCATACCTGTAGTCCCAGCTACTTGAGAGGTTGAGGCAGAAGATCGCCTGAGCCCAGGAGGTTGAGGCTTGCAGTGAGCTATGAGTGTGTCACTGCACTCCAGCCTGGGTGACAGTGAGACCATCTCAAGAAGAAGAAGAATTCTATTTAGTGCCTACTTTGGCTCCAGTGTGGGTCTCACTTGACCCTCAGAAGTTGTCTGAATCGCTTTGTGTCTTTTTTTTTTTTTTTTTTTTAGCACCGCAGAGAATGCTGGGGAATAAAAAGGGGATCTTCACACGGCAGAGACAACCAAAAACTGCAGCGTTCCTTCTACGAGAGAGATACTGGAAGATTGCCAACGAAACCAGGTATCCCCGTTCAGCTGCCAAGTCACAGTGTTTGGAAAACAGCCCGTTTACTTGAGCGAGAGCCACCTCTTGACTGACACCGCCTGCGTGTCCTTCCTTCCGAGTCAGGGCAACTTCCCCACAGCAGAGCACGTGCCTCCTGGACTGTCCACGGCTGGCTGGACTGTTTCTGGCCTCGGTTTTGTGGTCCATCTGTGCTAGCGGGGAACACGAGAGGTGGAAATAAGAGATTTCCTAGTATAAATAAAGAGTTAGCATGAACATGGCTGCTGAAAAGCATCTGAAATCATTTCTGTGTGTTGGGCTGTTTTCAGAGCCTTAACTATGTGGACTTTTGAGAAACTCCAACACCCACACCACATTCAGAGCAGCTGGTTCCAGACAGCATCTGCAGGGATAGCCTCATGGTCCTAGGGCCGCCGTGTTTCTGTAGCAAACCCGGCCAGCCTCCATAGAGTGAATAGAAGACTTTCATTGCTGGTGTTTGACTCCCCAGATGGGCTGAGTCCTGCATGTACCAACAAGGTCACAGAAGTGCTGTCATGCTGCAGTCCCTCACAGATCTGTGCAGCAGTTTCCACATAGGTAAGCAGAAGTCTAAACTGGAAGCTCAGAGGTGACCAGTTCTCCTAGGAGTGTTCTGATCCCAGCCATAGTCAGGTCTTGACAGGAATGGACAGATGAGCATAAAAGCACATTGGCCTTATCGTAACGGATGCCATTGAAGGTGACAAGACCTCTTCAAACAGCTGTGCCTACAAATCAGCATTCCAGGCCTTTACACCCCATAATGACACCACTCCCAGAGCACAGGCCTTCCTTAAGGAATCGCTCCTCCCTCTCCTCCCAGGCAAGGTTAGGGCAAGGATGGTACATCAATTCGAATTTAAAGTTTGATGCTTTGGAAAATATTCCTGTTGGTGTCCAGTCTTAGTTGGAAGACAGACCATGAACCAATGCAGTTTTTTTCCTCGTTCTCGTTTTTGGGACAGTCTTGCTCTGTGGTCCAGGCTGGAGTGCGGTGGTGCAATCTTGGCTCACTGCAACCTCCGCCTCTGGGGTTCAAACAATTCTTCAGTCTCAGCCTCCCAAGTAGCTAGAAGTACAGGTGCCCGCCACCACACCCTGCTAATTTTTTTTTGTATTTTTAGTAGAGATGGGTTTTTGCCATGTTGGCCAGGCTGGTCTCGAACTCCTGACCTCAAGTGATCCACCCACCTCAGCCTCCCCAAGTGCTGGGATTACAGGCATGAGCCACCGCGCCTGGCCTCCAATAACGGTTCTTGCCATACAACTTGATTTCCCCCGTCTTGTGGTTGACTCCCCTGTCTCCACACACAGCCCCCTTTTCAGCTTTCCTTTGCAAGCTCTGTGAAACAAAGAATAGAGATAATTTAGCCTGGTTTTATTAGGCATTATCAGTCCATTTTTTAAAAATGAGAGTGTAGTCAGTTCCAATTAGGAATCTAGGGGTTCCATTTGTTTTTGTTTTCACTGAACTTCTTTCTCTTTAGTTTTTCAAAGGAATGAAATTTTGTGTTCCAGTATGTCAAAATATAATGGGTAAAAGTTGGCAAACATCAAGAAAAATTAAATGTAGGGGGTCGCGGTGGCTCTGGCCAGTTGTCCTGGCACTTGAGGAGGCGAGGCCATGAGTTCAAGGCTAACCTGAGCAACAAGCTCTCATTGATTAACAACAACAAAAAAAATTTAAATAGACATGTTTAAATGTTGTACAAATTAGGGGCAGCCCATTTCACAGGTCTTACGCTTAAGCACAGAACACACCTGTTGCATTTCCATGAAGTATGGCTCAGTTGTATTTCCAACGGATTCATCTTTCTTGCGGATGCTACCTTTTTAGAGGCTTATACGTGGAGTATTCAAGGAAAGCTAAAGTAAAACTGTGGAAAAACGGTTCGTTGATACATTCTAAGTGTTCACAGAACTGTAGGTAGTGACACTTTTTGTCACTGATTCTTGACAATCACATAGATCATAAACCCACAGGAATTCCACGAACTAGAGGTCTGAGGACTCTGAGTCTTCTGCAAGTTACATATCACTTAAGAGAAAAAGAACCCTGTATACCTTAGAAATGAGGTTCCAGCGTGGACTTCAAGAATAGAAGGCTCCCACTGAGTCTAAGACTCAGCTTTTCTGGAATGCAGCCCTGCAGTTAAGAATGATGGCAGCACAACTTCCACAGGTAACTTCTACATTTATTTTATACCAAAAAAGTTATGTGCAACAAATAAACATTCTTACATATTTACATTTGGTTTTATTTACCAGTTAGCAAAATGGTGCCTTGAATCTCTGATAAAGAAGACTTCTATCTAGATTATTAATGGGGAAATCTGCCCAGTGAACTCCATTTTAAATGAATGTTTACTCTGGAGCTTAAAGCACTAGTAATGAATATTTTTGATGGAACAGATTAGACATCATACACCTAATCCTCAGGCCACGCTTAATACAGTTTTACAACTAAACATTTCACCTTTTCTGGACAAACTTGTAGTAAAAAGATGATTCAGTAGCCGGGGTTCCCACACCTGCCCCTTTTGTTTGATGGCAGAAGGGGCGTTCTCAGGATTAGAAGTCGTAATGCTGCCTCAGGTGTCTGAGATGTGTCACCAATGCTTGTGTGTTAGAGGAAAGGAAGACAGAAATTGCATATTAGGTCATTAGGTCTGTCTCCCCAAACAGGCTTCCAGAAATCACAGTGGGTCTCCTTGTTGGCATCTGTCTAATACTGATTTTCAAGACAAGCTTTCCTGTCACTCTTGGTACCGATCTAAATTATGAAGTAATTGCTAAAGATAACTCTACTTTTGCAAACAGTCTTTTCAAAAACTAAATGAAAAGCAAAAGTCAACAAGTAGTTTTTCTTTTGAGACAGTTTCGCTCGTTGCCCAGGCTGGAGTGCAGTGGTGCAATCTCTGCTCACTGCAACCTCCACCTCCCAGGTTCAAGCCATTCTCTTGTATCAGCCTCTAGGATTACAGGCACCCGCCACCATGCCTGGCTTATTTTTGTATTTTTAATAGAGACGGTTTCACTATGTCAGCCACACTGGTCTTGAACTGCTGACCTCGGATGACCCGCCCACCTTAGCCTCCCAAAGTGCTGGGATTACAGGCATGAGCCACCACGCCTAGCCAACAAATAGTTTTAATTTCACTGTGGTCTTGGTCCTCTGAATGAAACAGTCAATGCTTTGAACATTGTTTGAGAGTAATGGATTTAAGGAGAAGACACACATGAAGAACAGTGATTCTGGCCACACAGCTAGTTAAACCTGAGTTATGTCACCAGAAATCTACCTTTACACTGGGAGCAACTAAGTGTAATGCAAACCCAAATGAAACCCTCCCAACCACCTGGATTCCCTGGAATTTATCCTCTAACGCCAATGACTCCTATTTCTTCAAATGGTATTTGTGACTATCAAGTCAATAAATGGTTTCATTTGGAATGAATCACTTCAAAAAAATGAAGCATGGAATTACTGCTAGCAAGAAATGTTTCCCCTAGTCTGTCCTTTACACTGCTGGCTAGCTGCAGTCTTTAAATATTCAGTCTAAAACTGGCACGACAATCTTCCAAGTTTATAACATTGGTGATTCCCCCTCTTCTGGGCAGAATAGAAGGGACAGAAAGGAACCCAAACTCTCCAGGGCAAAAGACACCAAGTTAACACCCACCAGGGTTCTGTTGGTCACTGAGATACCGGCGTTACAATGCTGTTAGTACAGGCAGCACGTGTTCCTCTCAGTGAGAAAAAAGGGTATTTACTCGACGGGGCCATAGGAATGTGGCAAAAACTTTTACACAATGAAATAGTGGTTTCCCCAAGGCTTAGCAAAGCAAAGAAAAAACTGGAAGGGACTGGCTGACGATTTTTCTGTTTTCTCAGGTAAGAGTTGAAGACATTTTCAAGAATGAAACATCGAGACAAGCTTTAACTATACTTTGCTTGATACAAACTAGGATGAAAACCACTGGATACTGGGACGCAAGGAACGTGTTTAGCATGACTGGTGTAAGGTATACCACAGTTTCAACCCTGAAGCCATTTCCACCGTAGCTTAGAAGAAAGAACCAGGCGACTGCCCTAGGGAGCTGGATGCGCCGCCCAAGGTGGCCTCCCGGCACAGCCTCAAACCGAGGCTTCCTCCACAGACCCCAGACGGCCAGTCGGTGCGTTCTAGAGTTCTTTCACTACTTCAGAACACCACGGCACATACAGACTCGAACGGCCGCTGAAAGATTCACATTCATGGGAAAACACAAGCCTTGATGAAACCTTGAGTTAAGCGATCTTTTAAGAAACTGGTTAAAACTGGTGAAGAGTTCATTACAATTCGGACTTGATACTTGCCTTGAGCCAAAAGACCTATGTTGCGTCCATTATGAGTTGGTTAGAAATTACTGAATTGTTGCTGACTACACATTTTAGTTCACAGAACAGAGTCTGTTCCCTCCCTTCAAGGAGAAGGCAAATAAAGCACTCAAGAGGTACCAGCCTCATTGACTATTTTTAACATAAAACGATTAATCAAATCAGAAGCAAAAACATTGCTGCTTCTCAACCAGAGGAGTAAAATTATCACACAGGACCTTCTGCAGAGAGCGGGTTTTCCACCTGACGGCAAAGAAAGGAAGGAATGAAGGACACTTCTGCCCAAGGTCAACACACAAAATATTTGGTTTGAGATTTAAGACAGAAGGCACTTTTAACATTCTGACATCAGATGTTAACCACAGAAACGTCCTGTCCCAATGTCATTTGGGCTTACTCGAATCCCCTTTCCAAACTCTTCTTACTGCATGTGTGGCATTATGAGAGCAGTGGCGACACGACTCTATTTCACCTTGAGATGTGTCTACCTGTTGCTCTTCCCCCGATGAAGCAGACTGCGCAGCATGTCAGCCCTGAAGGTCGCAAATCCAGGATTTCACTCCAAAAAAATTAGACATCCAAGGGGTTAGTGCAGAGAGAAACAATTAGCAAGAACACTGCTCCCACTCTGGAGCGACGGGACTTGGACTGCTCATTTCCGTCATAATACTGTTTGGTTGACTGGCACCAATATTAAGGAAAAATATCTGTGTGAAAAGTCAACTGGTGGAAGAAACTTTACCTAAAAATGCCATGTTTGTATTTCCAGCTTTTCTCCAAAGGAAAATACCCATCTTCCCATCCTAGTGTCCTCAAGGCCTCGGACTTACTCTGTAAGGTTAACAATTGGTCCAGTTTTACAACCAGACACAAATCTGACTTGAACGTTCCAATTCAATTTCTTCCTTTCAGAAAGAGGGAGATAAAAGGGAACCAACCACCCTATTTTTTTTTAACCCTATAATTTTTGCAATCAATGCTGCACTCGTGGCTGCCAGCACTTTTCTCAAGATGCTGTGTATGGGCTATTTTCACTGCCTCCTCAGTTAACACTGAGCTGACAGTTCTTCAGTGCTAACTCCAACTAAACTGTACAGTAAGTTCTGCAGGGATGGAGCCAATATTTCTACTTTTATTTACAAATATCACATAAATGGATTCTAGTTGAATCTACATGTTTAAATCCTTCGGCTAAAAACATATTACATATTGTAAACATGGCGATATTTAATACAGTATCTATTCTAAAATATTTTCATGTCATGATCACATTTTTATACCTGAAATTGAATTGATACACTTGAAGGAATTACTAGCAATGGTTGCTCACTTTACAATCGAGGGAAGGGGCTAGGGCTACATTTGATCATTTCAAAAGCATCTTCAAAGTAAAGTGAAAGCTTGTCTTTGATTGGCTTGGCGGCTCCTTTTTGTATCCATATTTAAAATGAAGATTGACACAAAAAATAGCGAGGGCCCCTTCTAATTTACAGGATTTTTAAAAACAGTTTTAAGATTCTTAGGGAAAGTGTCTGTTGTGAAGAATTAAAAAAAAAAAAAAACTGCTGCAAAATAAACTTAATGGAAAAGGACTTGAGACTGTCAGGGAAGAGTCTGTGGAGGTCAGTCCTGCTTGGGCTGCAGCTGCCGTTTCCAGGCCTCGTTCAAGTAAACTAGTCGTTTGTAGTTGACGATGAGGAGAATGAAGTTCAGCACGTACGTGATGACACAGATGATGCAGAACTCCTTCAGCACAAAGTACAGAATGTAGGCCAGGTACAGGGACCCCACGACCGACACGATGGAGGACGTCATGAGGACCAACGCCGCGACGGCACTTGCTGTCATGCCTGCAAGAGAAGAGACGCAGACCCGATTAGGCCTTGACCCCAGAGAGGCTTTCTGAGTGACAAGGCCTAACACTGTGTAACTTGTGGCAGTGTTTGAATGCTGATCTTCCTGCCAAACTCTGAAAACTGAGAACAGAAATACTGGTCTGTTTTGTTAAAATTATACAGGTTGACTCTGCAGACCAAATGCCAGTTTGTTTGTTTTTGAGACGGAGTCTCACTCTATTGCCCAGGCTGGATGGAAAAAGCAGCTCAATCTCAGCTCGCTGCAACCTCTACCTCTTGAATAGCTGGGATTACAGGCATGTATCACCACGCCTGGCTAATTTCTGTATTTTTAATAGAGACAGGCTTTCTCCCTGTTGGCCAGGCTGGTCTCAAACTCCTAACCTCAGGTGATCCACCTGCCTCAGCCTCCCAAAATGCTGGGATTACTGGCATGAGCCCACTGTGCTCAGCCAAATGCCAGTTTTATAGCTGCAGTGTTTTGATTTCTCAATCTTTCAGGTGAAATATTACTTATTTCACAAACTAGCCTGAGTTGAAAATACACACACATAGAAAACATGCAATCTCACAATCACATTAAGCAATAAAGCTGACTTGTAACATCCACAGCCCCAAGTCACTGAATGAATAAAGGGACATGAGGACCACAGCCTTTTTCTTCGGAGCTGCACATATTTGGTGAGAACCTTCTCTGGCCTTTCACTATGGCCTCCCCATCTGTGGAAAGTAAAATTTGCTTTTCCATATTTAGCTCAAATTGATCAAAAATCTACAATGAGAGGTGACTATACCAACAAGCTGCAGAAGAGAAAGAGTATCTTGATAAACACTTCAGGTCACCCTGGTGGATAAGCAGAACCACATTGAGCCCATTGGCTGCATGTGGGTCAAACCTGATCAGAAAAATAGTGGATAAGTGTGCTAAGCCAGGGCTCTCAAGACAAAAAGGCACCTGAGGCCAGGTACGGTGGCTCACGCCTGTAATGCTAACACTTTGGGAGGCCAAGGCAGGCAGATCATTTCAGGTCAGGAGTTCAAGACCAGCCTCACCAACATGGTGAAACCTATTTCTACAAAAAAAATACAAATAAATAAATAAATAAAAATTAGCTGGGCCTGGGGGTACATGCTTATAATCCCAGCTATAAGGGAAGCTCAGGCAGGAGAATCGCTTGAACCCGGGAGGTGGAGGTTGCAGTGAGCCAAGATCACGCCACTGCACTCCAGCCTCTGTGTGAAAGAGTCAGACTCTGTGTTCAAAACAAACAACAACAAAAAAGGCACCTGAATTCTTCACTGTATTGTTTTAAATTCCCTACAGCCAACAGCATGGAAAATATGTGCATTTATTGTCAAGGACAGAGAAGGCAGAGCATGTTGAACTACGCTCCTACCCAACGACTCACAGGTAAGGATAACAGAAACAGGACAGAGTAACAGTGGGAGCAAGTTTAAAGGAGTCAATTAAAGGGCTGAAATCCCGGTGCCTGTTGGCAAAAAGAAAGGCAACAAGAAGACGCCTGTGGACTGACTGGCTGCAGCTCAGCCAAGGGACTAGATGCTTTCGCAAGCGCATCAAGACTAAGGTGCTGCTGAATTTCTTATCGCGGGACTAGCAAATCTTGGCAGCTACCTGCTTTTGTAAATAAAGTTGTACTGGCATCCAGACACACTCACGCATTTAGGTAATGTCTGTGACTGCTTCCACACTAGAAGGAAGGGCTGAGTGTCTGCGGTAGCTGGCAGAGCCTAAACTACTTTCTGCCAGGCCCTTTTCTGAAAAAGTTTGCTGACTTCACCTATGCTAAACAACTAACATTTCAAAAATTAATGTGGTCACAATTTATCTAAGAAATTTAATTTCAAAATGATACGGGCAAGTTTATTTCTTCCTCCATGCCTCTCTCTTCTCAACTGTAAAACTGGGGTAACAATCATGCCTACTTCCCAAGACTCCCAGACAATTAAATAAGCTAGATAATGCAGGATTAAAGGAGCTAATAGAAAGCACTTAGAATGCTCTATAAATACCAGCTATCCGTTAAATACTATGGTAATGCAGCTAGGTACTTGTGGCTCGGGGTGAAATTCTCTGTGGAATTTAAAATATGCTGTAACTCTAAATAAATGATGGCACAATTATGCAATGGATTATTCTGCAGCTGTGAAAAGGAATGAAGACATTTAATGTACTGATATGGAAAGATTACGATATATCCATCAAGCAAAAAAACGAAAAAAAAAAAAAAAAAAAAGCAAGCTGGAGAACAGTGGATATAGCATCTGCCTTTTATATTTTAAAAAGGAGAAAAATTAAGATTGTATATTTGTATTTTCTTTTATATGCATAAAGAAATTCTAACCAATAACAAGCTACCAGCAGGGGCTGAGGAGCAGTGGAAACTGGGCAGAAAGGGAAGAAGTGAGACAGATTTTTCATTGTGTAACATTTTATATATATATTTTTTCAAGACGGAGTCTCGCTCTATTGCCTAAGCTGAAGTGTAGTGGCTCGATCTTAGTTCACTGCAACATCCACCTCCTGGGTTCGAGCAATTTTCCTGCCTCAGCCTCCCGAGTAGCTGGGATTACAGATGTGTGCCACCACACCCGGCTAATTTTTTTATTTTTAGTGAAGATGGGGTTTCACCATGTGGGCCAGGCTGGTCTGGAACTCCTGACCTCAGGTGATCTGCTCGTCTTGGCCTCCCAAAGTGCTGGGAGCCACCGCACCTGGCCATTTTTAAAAACTCTTGAACCAGGTGAATGGATTACCTATAAAAATAATTAAATTAAAAATGTTGTATCTCAAACAGCTTAGAAGGGAGTACAGATGCCGTGCTCTGGAAACCGTTAGGTTAGTTCGAACGTGCCTCTGACAAAGACCGCAACATTAAAAAGGCACGTGAAGTGTCTAAATGCAAGTCAAAAAATGCGGATGAAAAACAACATTTGGTACATGTGATTTAAAATCTGTATACACCATGACATGAAATTAATGGCATAAACAGAAATTTGGCTGTCAAGTCTCTGTCTTCAAAAGTTAATATAGTCAAAGACTTTTCTGAGGTTCTTTTCTCTTAGGGGAGAAGGCCTTGCATTTGGGCTTATGCTTCATATTCTCTAGAAACCAACACAATGGTGACATACAGAATACAAAGTGACATTTCTCCCTCCACCCCAGCCACCAGACCCTTTTCTATGCATTTAAATGCATGCATACCTATTATACCACAATTTCCTTTTTCCACAAAATAGTGTCTTGATCTTTCCACGATATAAATATAGAGCTCCCTTTTCTTTTAATGGCTGTAGTATTTTCTAACTTATTCAACCATTACCTGTTTCTAAGGTACTTCAACTTTTTTTTTTTTTGCTATTTTAGACTGTACTGCTATGAATATCCTTGTACTTCTGCAAGATATGGAATTGGGCAAACTTGAAAGAACCACTGAGAAGAATTTAGATTGACAATTTGCCTCATAACAAATCAATTTCAGATAGAAAAGTTCCATGTATTTTTAATGAACCAAATCAGAAGAGCTGACAGATAATGAAATAAAATATTAACAATTAAAAATACAAAGGCATTGGTATGCAACTAGATTTTTTAAAAAGCAGAAAAATAAAATGCAAAGGCAAAAACGGATAGATTTAACTCAGAAAGTATAAAAACTTAATACAATCCCAGCACTTTGGGAGGCCGAGGCGGGAGGTCCAAAGATCGAGACCATCCTGGTCAACATGGTGAAACCCCGTCTCTACTAAAAATACAAAAAATTAGCTGGGCATGATGGCGCGTGCTTGTAGTCCCAGCTACTCAGGAGGCTGAGGCAGGAGAATTGCCTGAACCCAGGAGGCAGAGTTTGCAGTGAGCCGAGATCACGCCATTGCACTCCAGCCTGGGTAACAAGAGCGAAACTCCATCTCAAAAACAAAACAAAACTTAATACAGTTTTTATAACAACAACCAGGGATAAAGAATGCATAAAATGTTTCTAATACATATGAAAATGTCAGGATCTCAATAACTAAATGGGCAATACAAGGAAATGAGAGTAAAGTTTAAAGTAATAGGTACTAATGTGTAACTATTAGCAATTTTTCCAGGTGAAGATTAGTACAGTTAAAAAAAAAATTTTACAAATCACTTTTTAAAAATGAAGACTGCTGGAGCTTCAGGGAAACCAGAGAAGCGAGAGAAAAGCAACATGGTAACACTGATTAAAATGGAAAATATCTGTGTTTTTTGATCCTATGCCTAGAAATTTATTTTGTGGAGACAATTCAAAGAAGAAAGAGCATGAGTTCTTGAAACAAGTTGATCACTGCAGCATTATTTAGAAGCAAAAAGTGTGAAAACTAGATGTTAATAACACTTAGGATAAATAACACTATGTTGAAACACAGTTCACATAAAATTATTATTAGATTTTGAGACAGGGTCTTGCTCTGTCCCCCAGGCTGGAGTGCAGTGGTGTGATCTCGCTTCCCTGCAACCTCCACCTTTTGGGGTCAAGCGATTCTCTCACCTCAGCCTCTCAAGTAGCTGGGATTACAGGTGTGTACCACCGCACCTGGCTAATTTTTGCATTTTCTGTAGAGACAGTGTCTCGCCATGTTGCCCAGGCTTGTCTCGAACTCTGGGCTCAAGTGATCTGCCCTTCTCAGCCTCCCAAAGTGCTAGGATTACAGGCGTGAGCCACCGCGCCTGGCCCAAAATTCTTTTTAAAAGCAGAAGACAATAGAAATAGTGGATATGTAAAGGTGATGGGATTATGAATACGGTTTCTTGTGAATGTTTCCTTAATATATGATGTTTTTAAAAGGCTGCAGAGTCTTTAAAAGAAGGAGAGCTTTACAGAGACGATGGGAGTGATCACTTCTTTGAATGGGACTGGTTTCTGGACATCATGAGATGCTGCTCTCCATGATGAAACAGCATTTGACATCAAGTTCAACATTAATATAATAAAAATCTTAGTGAATCAGTTTTCACAACACAAAAATGTTGTACACACTAGCGGTTCTATAAATAACACATGCTTTCATTTAACATCAAGACACTTCAGGGCAAAGACACAAAGTTCTAAATGGATTATAACAAACTTATTTCGGTATTGATAAATACTTACCAAGTAATAACTGTAGTATATAAAATATAAGTCCAAAGACACTGTTTGGCTGGTTTAATACACCATCCTTTCCAAAAATGGAACCCAAAAGACCAAATCCTCGACCCCATCTGTAAAATAAGGAAAACCAGTAACCCTCTATTTGAATGTCCCTATTTAAAAAATGTCAAATTATTTGAGAATGCTATCCAATTCTAAAATCAACTAAGTTGCCAAATGTCTTAAATGTCCTGTGTGGAAAGAGTGATTTACCCCCAAAGAGGGAGGCCAGTCACTAGATTTCTGATTAAAATGAACATATCTAAAAGTGCCAGTATACCCATCTGATTCTCTAAGTTGCCAATTTCTCTATAGTCCCTTCTCCAAAAGGTAGGGCAAATTATTCTTTTTCCAATGACATTAGTATTTGAGAAGGAGATCTCTCTATGCTTAGCCAGGGTCTCTTAACAGTGGACCACTGACATTTTGGACTAGATAATTCTTTGTGCTGGGGGGGTGTCCAGTGCATTACATAACTAACATCCCTGGCCTCCACCCCAGATATGACTACCAAAAACAGTCACAGTCATTGCCAAACATCCTCTGGGACACAATGGCCCCCAGCTCAAAGTCATAGATTAAGCTATGCTATTTATTCACTCAAAGAATGTAGATTGAAAAGTTGTTTCTTCACAAATGTCACCAGGATATGCATTAAGAAATATCCTGGGAATGTATTTTTTAAATGTAGGGCTAGGTGTGGTGGCTCATGCTGGTAAACCCAGCACGTTGGGAGGCCGAGATGGGTGGATCAACTGAGGTCAAGAGTTTGAGACCAGCTTGGCTAACGGGGTGAGATCTCATCTCTACTCAAAATACAAAAAATCAGCTGGGCGTGATGGCGGGCGCCTGTAATTCCAGCTATTAGGGAGGCTGAGGCAGAACCACTTGAACCCAGGATGTGGAGGGTGCAGTGAGCCGAGATCGTGCCACTGCACCCGAGCCTGGGTAAGAGCAAAACTCCTTTAAAAAAAAAAAAAAAAAAAAAGTAAGATAATATCAGAAACTGTAGGTCTTTCCTGGAATCCTATCTCAGAAGTAAAAACCCGGATACGTTATATGTCTTATCAGTTTTTATTTGCAATTAACTTTAAATCTTGCATTTGACTGAACATTTTTAAACCCTAATTTTTGTTCTAAATTGTTAATACTGATTTGATAAAACTTGATACAAATATCAACCTAACATTCACTTTGAATAAAAAACCTTTGAAGATAATGTTTCAATTTTGGATAGAACAAGAGTGCTTCCTAAATACTAAAACCAATAACCAGTTGTGTTCAGTCAGTAGAGAAACACTCTAAATAAAATCTAAACTGTGGTTCTGAAAAGGAACTGCCCCAAAACAAGGAGAAATAAGCTATTCAAGGACCAAGATACAGAATAAAACCCCTTCATCACGATGATGTTAGGAGATGAAAATGACCCTGATTTTACAAACGAGTAAGAGCCATGAAGATTTTTATTGTACAATTTCTTTTCTTTTCTTTTTCTTTTTTTTTTTTGGAGACAGGATCTTCCTCAGTTGCCCAGGCAGGAGTACAGTCGCAATCATGACTCACTGCAGCCTTGATCTCTTGGGCTCAAGTGATCCTCCTGCCTCAGCCTCTGAGAGTAGCTGAGACTGACACTCAGCTTTTTTTTTTTTTGTATTTTTTATAGCATTGGGGCTTTGCCATGTGCCCAGGCTGGTCTCGAACTAATGGGTTCAAACAATCCTCCCAGCCTGGCCTCCCAAAGTGCTGGAATTACAGGCTCAGCTACCATACCCAGCCTTCAGTTGCACATTTCAAGGAATATAAAATAATTTCCATTATATTCATTTATTCTTTCACTCATCTAAATACTTATTGAGCACATACTATGTGCACTGGTGCTAGGGGTTGGGGATCCAGAAGTGAACGAGCAAGACAAGATGTTGCCCTTGAGGAGCTTAAATTCTATTTAGGGAAGAGAAGACACAGACAGGTGAACAATGCCCAAGTTACCTGCAGAAATGGACACAGCTTGTAACAGATACAGGAACTTAGAAGGGGGAACTCTAGATTAGTGCTTCTGGGATTTTAAAACCGCAATCATGCTGGGCGCAGTGGCTCAAGCCTGTAATCCCAGCACTTTGGGAGGCCGAGGCAGGTGGATCACGAGGTCAAGAGATCAAGACCATCCTGGTCAACATGGTGAAACCCCATCTCTACTAAAAATACAAAAAATTAGCTGGGCATGGTGGTGCGTGCCTGTAATCCCAACTACTCGGGAAGCTGAGGCAGGAGAATTGCCTGAACCCAGGAGGTGGAGGTTGCGGTGAGCTGAGATCGCGCCATTGCACTCCAGCCTGGGTAACAAGAGCGAAACTCCGTCTCAAAAAAAAAAAAAAAAAAAAACACACAATCACTTTCGGGTCTTGTTAAAATGTAGCTTTTCTTTTAGTGGTGTGTGGTGGGGCCTATTATTCTGCAATTCCAAAGAAAACATAACACAACACAAAACACATGCAGGCAATACTGATGCTTCTGGTCTGAGGACCACACTTGGAGCTCCACTGTGGACAGAGAAGGGGTGTAGGAAGCTCCTCTAGCTGGACGGTCAGGAAGGACTTTTCCCAGGAATTAAATTCTGAAGGCGATCTGAGTGATGGGAAGCAGCAAGTCAAAGGCCTTGAGGCAGGACTGAGCCGTGCGTGTGCCAAGGAGGCCATGGAGGCTGGGGCGTGGTGACTGGGGAGGGTGACAGGAGAACTAGGCACAAGTCCAATCATTGACATCATTTAGGGCCTAATGTGTAGCGAAGAGTTTGAATTTTATTCTAATTGCAATGACAGACGTTTGGTAGCTTTCAAACCGGAGAGTGAGATAAACTTACTTAGGATCACTCTTCGCTGCTGTGTAAGGAACAAAATGCTGGGGGCTGGAGTAGAGACAGGGAGAAACTACACGTAATCAAACTTTTGGCCTGCTCATCCCAAGCAGGGATTCAAACGTAAGTCACCGCCTCTGGCAACAGAAATGAGTGGCATACTGCCAAAACTGTCATGGCTAAACAGACTTTTTATATATTCAAAGCACTGGTCTGTGCCTGATTATTCATGTAAGATCACATGGGCATCTTCCTTGAAAACAATGTGGTCATCCACAAATGAAGATATTATCAGTTATACATGCATAAGGTTTCAAAACAAGGCAACACCAAGGGCTTCTAATACAGAGCTGTTCCTTCCTCCAGCCCTCCCCAAGTTCGGTTCTTATCTCCAGAGGCATCCACTTTGATGACTGTTAACTGTTTTCACTCTTACTTAACTCCACATTTCTAAAAATGTTTACATTGCTTTTCCTTTTTTTTTTTTTTTTTCTCTTTTTGAGACACTCTAGCTCTGTTGCCCAGGCTGGAGTGCAGTGGCACAATCTCAGCTCAATGCAACATTTGCCTCCTGGGTACAAGCAATTCTCCTGCTTCCGCCTTCTGAATAGATAGAATTACAGGCACCACCACCACCACACCTGGCTAATTTTTGTAGAGATGGGGTTTCACCATGTTGGCCAGGCTGGCCTCAGGCCATCAGTCTGCCTCTGCGCCTGGCCCTAAATATTATCTCTTGACTTTCTAATATGGTAAGACAGAATATTGTTGGTTGTTTGTTTGTTTTGAGACAGGGTCTCACTCTGTTAATCATGGAGCACAGTGGTGTGGTCTGGGCTCACTGCAACCTCTACCTCCCAGTCTCAAGCAATTTTCCCTCCTCAGCCTCTCGAGTAGCTGGGACCACAGGCAAACACCACCATGCCTGGCTAATTTTTGTATTTTTGGTAAGAGATGGGGTTTTACCATGTTGCCCAGGCTGGTCCTGAACTCCTGAGCTCCGACAACCCACCTGTCTTAGCCTCCCCAAATGCTGGGATTACAGGCATGAGTTACTGTGGCCAGCCAAATATTGCTTTTTTTTTTTTTTAAGTTTAGTATATAATAAAAGACTTCAAATGCATATACACAAAGTGAACAGAAGAGTGTAATAAACACCATTTATTGTTTTGCTGTGGCAAAAAAAAACCCAAATAAAAACAAAAACACGCAAAACAAAGAAACCCCCACATACCCATCACCCAGCTTGAATAATTATGCCTTTCTTATTGTATCTCCACCTCTACGCTCATCACTTGAGAGTTACTTTTTAGTTCTTTAATTTTATTCCTTGGGACGGAGTCTCCCTCTAGCGCCCAGGCTGGAGTGGAGTGCAGAGGCGCGATCTCAGCTCGCTGCAACCTCCACCTCCTGAATTCAAGTGATTCTCCTGCCTCAGCCTCCCGAGTAGCTGGGACCACGGGCATGTTCCACCACGTCTGGCTAATTTTTGTATTTTTAGACTTCAAATGATCCGCCCACTCTGGCCTCCCAAAGTGCTGGGATTACGGGCACAAGCCACCATGCTCAGCCACAGGTTAAACTTCTGATTACCTTTATTTACTGATTCCTTACTGGTATTTTGGAAATCATTTGCTTTTTTTGTTTAAATTTTTGTTACAATATGCAATTATCTTGCTTTTACCACTTTAATAATAGCAACATTTACTCCTTAAAACAATAATCTTAAAATTCTCTCTACTTTTTAAAATAAATAAGTCAATTAATTTGTTTATTTATGAGACAGAGTTTCGCTCCTGTTGCCCAGGCTGGAGTGCAATGGCGCAATCTTGGCTCTTAAACTCCTGATCATTAAAAAGGGAGAATGAGCTGGGAGCAGTGGCTAACACCTGTAATCCCAGCACTTTGGGAGGCTGAGGCAGGTGCATCACCTGAGGTTGGCAGTTTGAGACCATCCTGACCAACATGGAGAAACCCCATCTCTACTACTAAAAATACAAAATTAGCCAGGAATGGTGGCTCATACTTGTAACCCCAGCTACTTGAGAGGCTGAGGTAGAAGAATTGTTTGAACCTGGAGGCGGAGGTTGCAGTGAGCCGAGATCTTGCCATTGCACTCCAGCCTGGACCACAAGAGCAAAACTCTTGTCTCCAAAAAAAAAAGAGGAGAATTGACATTGGAAAGCCTAAAATGGTGGGAGAAACATCTGCCAGGCT